AGTTTGCTTAAAGCTTGAGCAAACCTTCCATCCATCTGAAGATGTTAAAGACCCAACTACCTCCATCCAAACATCAATCAGAAACATATGCTGGACTTAGAACAACTGCCCGATCATGACTCTCAAAGATCTCCAGTTGCCATGCCCACCCGGTGGGGGAAGGCGATTGGTCGTTGGGTGGGCGTATGTGCACGTATGTAACTTTACTCTCAGCTTTCTGCCACATGTCCACAGTTGCTCTGTCATCTTTGACAGAAACACACTAAAGGGGATTATAGGAGGGCAGAGCGGTAAACCGTTTGTTACTGCGACATTTAGACAGCTCACCACAAATGTTCACTACTTAGGTTACACTAAAGTATAATTAACTCAAATAATACTTTTTAAATTGCTGTGGGAAACTTTTGGAAAACCCCTTAACTCTTCACGTTTTTTCCTCGGAGCATGAAACTGAACTATTTGTGATGAACTGTTAACCTTTTGCGCCGAACATGAAATGACAACAAAGGGAAGTTTATATCTCGACAACTGAAACTCTTTTCCGTACATAAAGATAACTGAAACACATAGAAATAGTACATTTTAAGAGTTGAGAGTCAACTAATCCTTAGATGTGGCTCAGATGGACTACTTCTAGGTGCCTCGAAACAAGAGAAGGTTTTTTAGGATTACATATCTTTAAGGGAAATGATGAGTAGACCCCATCTTCCCACTTGTATCGTCCTGAGAAAGATCCTTTAAGGTTGGAAACCTGGAGCTCTGAAGCCGTGGAAGTTCAATTCAGTTTATTTATATAGCGCCAATTCACAACATGTCATCTATCGAAAACCAGTTGATTGCATCGACTCATTGACTCGAATGCAATCCCTCACTCCAAGCATGCTTGTAGCAACAGTGGAGAGGAAAAGCTCCCTTTTAACAGGAAGAAACCTCCAGCAGAACCAGGCTCAGTGTGAGCGGCCATCTGCTGAGGCCGACTGGGGTTGAAGGAGACAGAAGCAGAGATACAGAAAGCAGCTGTAAAAGGCAGCCCCGTCCAGGAAACACACAGCCAGGCAGATGAGCTCTGAGCCATCTCCCACGTCAGAGGATGAAAAGAGCACGTCCAGCCAGTCACAGTCAGAGAAACAGGACAGCACTGGAAAACAGGCCGATCTCCAACATCTATAAACAAGGGTGTTGATGGCAGCAGCACAGCTGAGGTGTTCTCCATGTGTGTCAACGATCTTTCAGCAGGGCATTGATTAGTGACGCTCAATTTGGAACCAGACCTGTGCTATTTAAATGGAGATGGCTCAACCTTGCTTCTACTCTAGGAACAAATTCTGCACCAAATGTTTCTGGTTCATGTTGCCCAGTGTGCTTTCTTCGTTCTAAAGTACCCAATGTTTACTTTAAACCATGAAGCTTATAAGAAGGTGTGGCTTTTCTGTGGATTTTTGGATCGTCAGAGCTGGAAATGAAAGAATAATGGGCTAATTTCTCATTTAGTACAAAAATATGCTCGCAGCAGGCAGGACGTAAAACAATGTCCTGAATACTCACATTTTGACAATTATTTGCTGCGTTAAAGCTACCAAACCAATGAAGAGACTGGGCTCAACCCCTGCAGAGCTGAAATAAAGGGCTGACGAAGCCCCATCTTTCTTAAGAAGCTCTTAGTGCTGCGAGCTAGCAAGAGCTAGCATTCTTCTTCATCTCTACTCCGCAGGCTATATGTAGAGCTCCCCGTACAGGTTTGGTGGGAGACATTTCAGTAGGTATCAGCGACTTATAGCCCAGTCCAGCTAATACGTGTAGGTTTCTAGTAGTGACGTTGAGATGATAAAGCCTCATGAGGCATTGAACCGTTTTGCCAAATTGCTTCAACTTTCCCCACAGCTCATGAAGCCTCATGTGAACATGTCACCACCTACTGGTGGAGTGCAGAACTACAGTTTGTAATATAATTGTGATTTTTTTTTTCCAATATTGTTTTTCTATTCTATTGTTTTTTTTTTCCCATATAAGTCCATTTGAAATTGTTAATATTTGGTCTGTATAATAAAATCTTTGTTTTTTTGTATGTAAAATGTCATAGAAGAGGAAACATAATTGTACGTACACAGTTTTTCTGCCATTTTAGTGAAATAAGCTCAAGCAGACAGTGAAAGTGTTTGTGCAAATTGGGCAATGATGAGAAAATGCAAGGTGTGAGTCATTTTTATTGAAACATAACCAATCTATATTTATACAAGGGCAACAAATGCAAATTAGTCACATTAGCCAAAATACTGGATGTGTTTTATAAAAACTTTTAAAAGTCTGAGGAGGGTCTTGAACCAACAACCCACGGATGGGAAGTCCATCTCTTACAGCTAACGCGTCTAAATAAGTGACATATTAAAGCATCTACATATTCATACAATACGTTTACTTTTATCAGTGACTTGCTCAGATTTTGATCATTACGTTGTTTAATCCAACCAAATTAGTTTTAACCCACTAGATTGGTTGGAAAAAAACACCAATCTATTCTTAGGTTATCTAAACTCTATCCAACTCTCCTGAAAAAAACCCATCTTGACTGAATACTGAGGCTGTGCGAATGCCTGCCGAAGTTCTGGGCGAGCTGAACCACTTCCCGAAGCGGTCACGTGGTATGGCGGGTAGCGAGGCTTCAGATGTCATCCATTTTGGCTCCTACCCCAAATGAAGGAAGCCTCGATACGCACCTCGCAGAAACGCCCCCCCTCCAGTACTCGACACACGACTCGAAGCCTCAGCTTATCAGAATCAAAAGTCAGGAAAATACAGTACCTCTTATGATCCTAAATTTGTGGTTTACAGGTTTTTGTTTTCCTTTCTACCCATTTTTGTATCCAACCAGTAAGATTTCCCTATAATAGTATCTTTGATTAAGCAGAATGAGTCAGGTTTCAGTCTTAAATGACTTCAATTTTCTAAAGAGTTGTTAGAGTACAAAGAAACTTTTAGAGGTTTGAAAAAGACATTGTGGCAAAGAAAAGTCAAGCTAGTTTGAAAATTGGAGGGCAGCCCAAATACAGAGATTTAATATGCACAGCGCTGCTGAGGATCACCAGGTCTCCATACTTTCACGAGCAGACGACAGACGCACAGGGAAAATGAGAGATGTGTGACAGGGAAGCTCAGCCAGGGCTTCTGGACATTTGTTTTCTGACAAACAAACCAGCATCTCCTTGACGCGGGCCGTCAGGCAAAGCTCATCTGAGCCCCTGGGATTCTGGAAGACTCGAGGATGATCTTGTGATGAAGATGACAGCAAAACAAGCACATGTTCCCCCCACATAAAAAATAAAAAAGTGAAATAAAAAACTCAGAAAAAAGAGCAATCCGACTGTTTCTGTTTTTAATTACCAATCTGTAATGAATCGGACTGAAACTGTTTATTACGAAACGTCAGCTAACTCTGCTGCATATCCCAAAGGCTTTGTTTAAAATCCTGCGTGTTTTGTTTCCTTGGCATAGCAACAAGCAGTTCCACGTGAGTCCATGTCAGTGTGTTTTCTTCCTCCTGCTAAAACCTCAGCTCAGTCCGAACGTCATATGATGTTATTCTACCTATCAGACTCCTGGACGCACCGCTGGTCCTGCACTGGCATCTAAACAACAGCTACAAAGAAAAATCAGATCAAAAAATCAAACTCTTTTCCATTTTGCAGCCTAAAAAACCTCTAAATCCAGCATGAAGTGTCATGATCATTTCCCCACCAATGATACAGAAGAATTTGGTTTAGGACACCTAGATGAACAGCATCAATAATAGGAAAGAGCTGCTTTGTGTTTAATACATACTGTTCCTGTTTAACTGCATCCAACAAAAGTGACATTAGGCCACACGCCTCCCAGCTACCTTACTTCACCTGAGCTTTTACTCTGCTGAATAATTTCCGACAGTAGTCAGGAACTCAAACCAAACTACAATTACTCCTCAGCTGTTTGGCAGCGTTTCTAAATTCAACCATGCAACTTGTGATCGCGGTCGTGTGTTGCACCTCAACATCCGTTCAGTCATTAAAAGCGAGAAAAAAAAGAAAAGAATCAACTGCTCACAGAGAAGAGACTGGGAGCACCTCCTCCACAGCATGAGTAAGGCGAAAAGAAACTTTTCAGCTGCAAAACTGAGGAGGAGATGCAGTCATTTTGCTACTAACTGAAAAAAAATGTCAGTTAAGATTTTTTATTATATTGTTTTTCTGGTTTGTTTTTTGTCGAGGAAGTACAGGTCATAGAAGGAACATAAAAAAAACCTCTCCAAAATGAATGCTGGTCTTTATCAGCTTGGCACTAATAGACGCTGATGATCTTGGCCTATCGTTCTTTGCAAACACTCTACAGAAAACACCATTCAATTGTTGCCAGAGTTCTGGAGCCCTGTCTGGATGTTCAGGGTTCTTTTAATACCATTTTAAAGCCTTTCTAACAGGTTTTTTTTTTCTCAAGGACATCATACATCTTCCTTTCTAATCCCCCAGCTTAAGAAAAGCCTCCCCAAAGCATGACGCCGCCATCACTGTGGAAAAACTGTTTATCTAACGTGTTTGTTTTCGACCGCAGTTCTACTTTAGATTGTTCTGTTCTGTTGATCCTGAAGATAATGTTTGAAGGTAATTTACTGATTTTCTTTTAAAAAAAAACAGTCATTACTTCTCTTCAACTTCAGTTGCTCTGAAAATACTGATGAAACAAACTGAATTGTTGTGTGGTTATGTCACAAACTATGAAAAGCTTAAGAAATACAAATACTTTTCAAGTGATGCTAACTCTGGTTCCTTAGAAGTTGATCTAAAATTGCAAAAGATAAGCAAACTGCTTTAACCAAGGCGTAATCTGCACATTGTATCTGATCTCTTATCGTAAACAGCATCATCTGAGCAGTGTTCTCCAACCTGATCAGTGTATCAAGATTAAAACAGAGCAAACAAGAAGGTGGAGATGTAGAAGAGAAACAAATTTTATTTTTAAGAGTCAAGCCTTACCTGTAGCTCACACCATGCCACTTCCACGGTAGTTTCCGTATCAAGTCCTTTGTAGACGGTCTTGAAAGACCCTCTACCGATCTCAATGTCGAATTTCAGGAAGCGCCCGTCCGGCGAGGTGCCTACAGCTTTGGTCTCGGCCTCCTCTATATCGTCTTGGACTCGTTTCTCAGCCTCCCTCTGCTCTGCCCGCGCTTTCGCTTGCCCCTTCTCCTCCTCTTTCTCTCGGTCCTTCTCATCGGTCGGGCTGCTAACGTTTCCGTCGCTACCGGGTTCGTCCGCCTTTTCGTCTTTTGACGCCGGTTGCGCTTCCTGAATCCCTCTGGCACACAACTTGACTTCGGGCTGTTTGCACACCTCTCTGTCCGTAACATCCAAAGCTGACTGGGTCGGCTCTTTTGTTGACTCTTCTGCACCATAAATAGCACTACTAGTTGTGGGTACAGCCAAAGAGAGAACATTTAGATCTAAATCTCCCAAGGAATGCTGGATGTGCCCCTGGCTAGCCGTCCCCCCCAGGTCAGAGTAAGGCGGGAGTCCAGCACTTTGCAAGTAGGACCCTCTTCCATTTTTCTCACCTTCAGCCTCTTGCTCCTCAGGCCTAAAGTTCTGCAAGGACAAGAAGAGGGGGGACCCTTCACAGTCTGGGGGTGAGGTGATAAGTACCGTCGCTTTGCTGGGCAGGTCTAAAGCTGTTGCGTTCGAGTCGCAGATAACACTGCGGCGGAAGAAACGGTGCTCGGCTGTTTTGGAGTCCCTCTCCATGGTGTGGCGCCGCCGCCGCACCTCGGGCTGCTCGCCGATCTTCTCCACGACATGCGAGTCTGAGCTTGCAGAGCCATTCACATTCTTGTGGGGGGTTTGAGGTGACGGGCAGGGGGAGTCGGAGGGCGCAGGGGGGAGCGGGGCGAGGAATTTTACTGCTTTGCTGCTGCTTTCGGACATTCTTCTGCTGGGCTCAGACCACAATGAAAAAGAAGGAAAATATAAATAAGGATTTGTGTAAAAAGTGAGAATTTGGACAAACCTATTTGTGTAAACTTCAGAACTCAAAAAAAAAAAATCAAAGGCAATTGGTTGTATCAGAAAACTGACAGAGCAACTCTTGTTCTCTGTAAAAGTTTGTCAGGACTTATCAGCTCTGTTTCCTCTCTGCAAATGTCAGCAGTTCTAACAAGACAAGCTACAGTTCCTATAAGGCCCTTCCTTAGAGGGCTGAGGAAGGCCCCAGGTAAGAAGTGGGGGCTTAAAGACTTGGGAGGATAAGCAGTCCAATAGGGAGGCTGGCCGATGCTGCGATGAGGTATAAATGGTCAAATCAAGTCCAGAATCCATCCTGCTTCCGACATCCAGACAAAACAGACCACAACATAGGACTGGAGACTGATCAGGTGCTGGCAGCCACAAAGGAATCTTTAAAGCTTGAATGGCAGATAATGACGAGGATATGCTCTCTCCAAGGTCACTCTCGTGGAGATGGAGCTGACCAATCTGGTTTGGCCCGGCCTGGCCTAGCCTGGCCTGGCCTGGCTTGGTCTTCTAAAGTCTTTGTCACTAGAAGTAAAAAAAAAGAAAAAAACAAATTAGATGATCAATTGGATATAATTAATAATCATTATTTGGTTAATCTGTTGAGTAGTTACTCTACTCCAGGTAAGATTTGTAGGTATACATAAAAACTCAATCTTAAGTCTCATCTAAACCAAAGTAAAATCATTAATCATTAACAATCATTAAAACTTTGACTATCATGACTGTTATGAAAACTGGGGTCTTTTTTTAGATATATTCCAGGACGGGATTTGTAGCTTTTCTGCTTCCCTTACAAACAGTCTGCAATGTTTAATAAAACAGGCCCTTGTTATGATTAATTTGCTTCATTGTCATTCTTTTCAAACATCTTAAATAATAATCTCAAGACATAAGCAGGTTAAAGCGAGAAGCTACTTAACTGTAGATGAATACAGACCTACTTGAATAAAAATTTGTCAGTTAACTAATAGTTAGGTTAGGTTATCCTGAAATATCTCTATAGTTATGCTGCTATAGGCTTAAACTGCTGGAGGACATAGGGACCCTTTTTTCACCATTCTGCTTCATTCTAACTCTTTTCTCCCACTCTGCAGAATTTGTAAGTTCAATCTCTAACGGAATACTCTCTTTGCTTCTTTGCATAGTAGCTTCATCTGCTCTGTTCCCGTTTGGCTGTGACACCATTCTGGAGAGGTGTGTCAGCTGTGCTCCTGCCATCAAAGCCTTTGTTTGTGGATGTTGGATCTTGGTTTGTTTCTTAGTGTGTTCCTGTTTCCATGACTGACAAACTGTATGTGCTCTCTTTCATTCTCTGGTATGGGAGCTGGCTCGGAGCTTGATTGCCTGGCTGTGTGTTTTACAGACAGGGCTGCCTGTGGAGTTGGTTGACAGTTGCCTTTTGTATCTCTGCTTCTGTCTCCTTGAACCCCAGTCGGCCTCAGCAGATGGCCGCTCACACTGAGCCTGGTTCTACTGGAGGTTCTTTCTGTTAAAAGGATTTTTCCTCTCTACTGTCGCTACAAGCATGCTTAGTCTGAAGAATTGCCTTCAGTGAGTCAATGAATCAATTTTCCTTAGATAGAAAACATTAATCAATTTGACTGTATGATCTGGTAGAATCATCTCTGTAAAGTGCCTTGAAATGACGTGTGTTGTTAATTGGCACTATCTAAATAAACTGAATTAAATTGATTTGCGTCTTGATATAAAATCTTTTTATAAGAAGAGATTTTATGAAAAAATAATTTATATATATATAAACTTGTTTAAGCCAAAAGTAGGATTTCTTTCTATATTTAAGTGGACGAATATTCAGATGCAGTATTTTATGCATCTTTTAGCGAGCTTGAGTTCAAGGAAGACTTTCCCCCTCAGATAGATTTTTTTTTTAAATCTTCTGAGTCCACAAAAATACATTTCTTCAACACATTGATGTCCCTTGTACAAATAAGTTAATAAGCAACATATTCTGTTTTACAGAGGGACGTAAAGTCTGTAAAAATTACCAATAAGGAAATCTGAGAAGTACGACAGTGTGATTCATCATGTAAGAAGATGATGTGCATCCCGAGCGCCTCGATGCTGTTAGTGCATTAGATTAGTGTGTGTCTAATTGCTCTACGTTCTAAATTTAGCTCAAAGACAGCAGCAGCCTTACTGACCTCAAGGTTTCGGCCGGCCTGTAGCAATTCAGCAGCTTAACATGCATAAGTGAGGAAAGCGGCGCTCAATACATTACTCAGCATACTGAATTACAGGCAGTGCACTGGGTAAGGCAATATGCCTGCTGAATTTGCCAGCAGCTTTTCTAAACAGCCTGCAGACTTCTGCTCACGTCAGATGAGCAGCACATGCTCTGGTTTGCGATGATGGAGACATTTTCAATCACTGCTCTCTGAGTTTTCTCTTCCAGTCAAACCAGCCTCCTGTAAAACAACTGAATAAAACGGGAGCCAGTCATTTTACAAGCTGACAAATTTTGCCAGGCTAAATCTCAAACAGAAGATGCTTCAACATGGTTTAAAGGTCCCAAAAGCTGCGCGCTGTAAATCGCCGTGCTTGTTTGTGCAGCCATGTGTGCTGTTCAGTTACACGTGTAATGAACAGGTCTTAAAATTAGCGTGCTATAATACAGCAGATTGTAAAGGCCGCCAAGAGGTTAAGAGAGGTAATTCATTCAGCTAGATGTCTCAAGTCCCAGGTGCTGCACTGTCTGCTCCTGTGAGTGGCTCCAACAAAGAGGTGGTGAGGTAATCCCTCAGGAGGGGATGACACATTCTGAATAGACGGACAACTCAAGAATGAGAGAGAGCTGTTCTCACTGAAGTGCTTTACTGGAGGAGTTTCCGTCTAAATCACAAAAAAACGATTGCAGAGCTCCGAGCAGACGGCTTCTTTCCTGGAGGCCGGTTCAGCTCTGGATACAGCTTGATATGGAGGAAACTTTAAACCTGAATCACTCAATCGTCACACCTGAAAAACACCTGACATCATGTTACCACAGGGACATGTAGCAGCAGACTCTGGCTCGGGTTAATTTGCAGATATTTCATAAGAACCAAGGAGACATGGGATTTTTACCTGTATCAAAAGTATATCATTCTGTTTTTTTTAAGGTTTCTGTTTCAAAACCAGCAAGAATGTCTTTCATACGGTTTAAAGCTCTTTGAGGTAGATGCCAGAAAAAAACCTGCTACCAGTCAGCATGAGTTATACTCTCCCATCACAGCTGTTTAGTGCACCAAACATTTAGGTCATACCTGCCATTCATCATGCTAAAGAGTATTCCAAACTCTTTAGAACATTTTAGAGTAGTTGAACATAAATATGTTTCTATGGATGCAGTAATCAGATGTTTCTAAAACATCTGCCATGCTTACAAAGAAAAATACATTTTATTTCAGATAATAGAAGCAGCAGTTTTGAATCAAACTATAAGATCTAAGCCCTGCATGCATCAGATCATATGGGTCTAACTTATCTGGTTTTAATCAAATCTGAAAAATCAATGTCCATGCTACTGTTTTAAGTGTTTGAAAGCTAAAAAAAAAAATGTGAGTTCAGATTTTCCACTATTTGATCTTCCAATTATGGGACTTTAGGCTAAATTCAGTTTATCTATAACGGATCCATTAAATACAGTAAAAATGTCTTTAGGTAATGTAGGATTCAATAGCCTCTATAAAAGACACAGCAGCACATCCAAAGACTCAAAGAAAAACAAAATTCAATAAAAGGCAGATTTCTAGATCCGCACTCACTGATTTAAATACCTTTATATCTACTAAGCTGCTAATTGCATCACAGAATCAGTGATTATCGAACCACCACTGTTCCCAGCAACCTCAATAAGTCGTTACATTCATGCTGATTTTGCACAGTTTCTATCTTAGTCAGTTAAATAACATGCTGCTTTCATTTTGCACATCTCTGATGTTGCTATTTTCAAATATCCTTTACTGTAAAAGTATCCATAGCTGTATATTGGTTATTTATTCTCACAGTATTTATATTGTTAAAACGTTTTACAGTTTTTATTGTTTATTTTTTAGCTTTTCACTATAATGTTATTCTTATATTTCTTATTTTTTATAAGGTCAACATTTGTGTGACCATTCTTTTCTATAATCTTTTTGCTGCTGTAAACATCAGAATTTTCTATTTTATTCTATTCATTTCTGTTCTATTCACTTCAGTTCTATTCTGTTCTATTATATTCTACTCTATTCTGTTCTATTCTATTTTACTCTATTCTGTTCTATTCTATTTTACTCTATTCTGTTCTATTCTATTTTACTCTATTCT